GAAATCGACCGGTAGATCTATGCAAAGATGTTCCTAAGAAAGCATGGCAAGATGTGGCAAAATTACTAACGACATGGAAGAAGCTGGAGAAAATACAGGTGAGCGGTGCGGCTTTTGAGCAGTTCCCACAGCGATCTGACATCAGCTGGCATCATTTGACAGGTCGACTTTCTGGCAGCTGGCAATGTCATGGTCCAATTAACTGATGGCGCCGAGACATCAGCAGGAGCTATTCTGGCCGAAATCGGTCGCGAACTCAAAATTGAAAACAGCACGTTGAAGTTGTTTGCTCTGTGGGTGTGCTCAGAGAGTCTAAGTAAGTTGGCAGTAAATCGATCGGCAATTATGGATTGATTTTGAATCGATTTTTGCACAGGTCTCCAGCTCAAACCCGATCACAAACCACTAGCACACTTAAACGTGAAGAAATGGCGCGCCAAGGTGGATAAGTGGACCGATCAGGACCACTCCCGCGAAAAACCGCATCTCGTCCTTCGCCGCAGCGCACACGCGTCGCTTGCAACGGAACTGAAGGTACCGTCCATTTTGCCGAGGTTTTTGTGTATTGCTAGTACATTCACATGGATATACAGGTGTAACAATTCAGCAAATGGAATAAGGACAAGAATTATAAGGAATAGTTATCATAATCAGAACATCAAAAGACTAGTCAATCACTAAAATGGAACCGTTCAATATGTCACCGTGTTACGTATGAAAGTGTCGGGATACAGCGGAAACAATCGATATGTGTTAGCATAGTTTCGATTTATGGAGTACGGTATGGCACTTTTTTTTGTAAATTTGTGCAGGTACACCATGATGACGTACCGTACTCCATCGTCTGCAACCAATGGAATGCCCTAATTTGTTCGGTACTTGTCAGAGCAGATATAATGATAGCAGAAGTATTAGCGCTACTGTAACTGCACTCGTTCTAGGACCCTCATTCAAACAATCGCCTGCAGGGCATGATTCGCTGCAAACCTGAAAGTATAAACGCTTACATGCTTGAGCGAAAAATCAATAATTCTACTGAAGAAAAATATGACGAAGCAGTTAGGAAATAGTGCGTTACCTCCACAAAGAGTGTAGACGTTTCTCGTCGAACGGTCCCTGTGGAAGGTTCCTTTGAAATGAGGTGACGAACCTAAATTGGGGCCTTTAAGGTTTGTTTGGCGACAATGTATTACTCGATAGTGACGATATAGAAGCGTAACAGGGTTGCATAATTTATATAGAAGGTAAATGAATTCCATCCCTTTTAAGTGGGTTTTTCGCCCCGCCCAATGTGATTTTTTAAAATTCTTCGAAATTTTTTCGTCGTTTCGTCGGTTCCCAACCCCTACTTCGAGCCTACGTGAAAAAAGTTAATAATGGATCGAGCGTGAAATAAGGCTGAAGTAGTGTGTTTGGAAGAAGTCACAAAACGGAAAGCCTTTTGTATCGATTCGGCCGGTTACGCTTGACGCATCGCGAACGCGCGCGTCCTAGATGTTTTAGTTCCCAACTGCTATCGAAACTAATCAGCGTGACTAC